GGGTGAAATGTCAAGTCGCCAAGAGAGAAAATATATAAAGAGTTACTGGAACGATACATGTCAGACTGTAAATGGTAGGCAAGAAATAATAGACATACTAGGGCTCCGTAACTGATCTATGTGCCTGTACTGCTGGAGGCACAGGCGCACTGTGCAAAGTACACAAGAGTGTCCTCCTTGCTCTCTTGCATGGCTTCAGTGGTGTTGTAGTCAGGCACCACTGCCGGAGGCAGCCAAGTCCTTGAAAGACTTAGGTTCACTGCCAACACAGCACAAAAAGATATCTATGAATCATTTACAATGCCTCCTGGAATATTCTGGTGAAAATACCCTTCTGAGAGCTGGGTTTTGACTCGGAGATCTTGTCGTCATGAGACTTGTATATCAGGCCGAGTTCGTCCTCGTTGATGGCGCCAGCGGAATATTTTCCGTTTACGTAGCCATGGATAGTGACTTCGAGCTAACAGCACATGGTTAAGTGTATAATGTAGAGATAGAGGGAGAAGAACACGTACCATCATAGCTGCGAAGGCTACCATCAGCCAAAGTACCAACTTCTGGGGGCGTTTGGGGTCCTCGGGCGCGTCTTCCACCGGGACCGGGAATTGCGGAGGCTGGAATTTAAGGGAGCTCTTCTCCTTTGCGAGGCCCATTAAACCGCGGGCAACGTATTCGGAGATGTACGGGCTGCTGTACGGGAACCTCTGATCCAAGGGGGAGATCATGAATTCCACCTTCACGTCTTCATCGTGATTGTCCGTGTGCTGCAAAAGTAAGTTAGATGATGACAAGGGCGAGTCGCAACATCATGCACCACCAGTTTGTCCACGTGGACAAACACCTGTTTCTCCAATAGCGCCAGCGCGGCGTTCTGCAGGCAGATTAAATCTTCCTTGGTAGGCTTGTCCTTCAGAAACAACTTCTTGAGCTCGAAGGCGTCATACTTGTCGACCATGTCGCGCCCAATCGTGACTAGACCGTTCCGCTGTGAAGAGCGATGTTCCCAGACCTACAACCCGATGATCATTAGTAAGTTGTTGAAATGAGTCAAGACATTGACTTACCACAATGCAGAGAAGCTTGAGGTATGCGGGCTGTGCATCACAGCGCTCCAGGATAGGTTTGAACTTGACGTTTGACTTAAGAACGGACTTAACCGCGGTTCTGGCCGTGATCAGGCCACCCAAAAGCTCATGAGTCTTGACACTCTCGATGCCTTCAGCGTCGCTTTTATTGAAGTCATCAGCAACATCGGCCTCGACTTTCATAGATATCGCGACGCCTGTCTTCGAAAGGAACAGATGGCGTCGGAGCCCCTTCATCACCACACTGAGAGCTTCATTCAGGATCTTGGGCTGCTGACTGAGGTTGCCGACACCGCCGTGCTTGTCGAAGGTCACCTGTGTGTCTGTGTGATTGACTGTATTGCCACTTTCCTGCACCTGTTGTTCATTGATACAACACTGACGCGCATCGGCCTGCATAGAAGAGCCGCGCTGCAAAGATGAAATATGTGTTAATGCATGAGACACATACAAAAGAGAGAGAGTACGTACGATATATTCCTTCTTGATCCAGGCCTGCGCTTTAATGAGTGATGTGCACCAAAAATAAGATAGCAGAATGTACCTTAAGAGCAGCATGACTTTTCTCATCGCTCTCCTCCTAGATAGTAAAGTAATGATAGATCAGTATGCTATACATGAGGGCGGGCGAGCGGGCGGGCGGGCGCGTATAGTGGGCGTGGAGATCTGAAGTCAGTAAATCATGGGAGGGACAGACCCCCCCTCCAGATTGAGAGATCTAGGCACGAGCATCAATAAGCTGTAGGTCGATAAAGAAGGCAAGAGGACTCATCTCACAAAAGAGCCCGCAGTGCCAAGTGTCACGACTAGTGTGCACTATGATGCAGTAGTAGCCTCAGCACTCCGTTTGTTCACCTCCAATGCACGGGGACAACCTGAGTGTCTTATATGGAGGGAAGTGAAAGAGGTATCAACGGCGGCGGGGGAGGATGGGGAGGGAATGGAGATGGGAGATGAGAAATGGAGATGGTCGAGATGAAGTCGAAGAAGTCGAAGTCGCACACGTCTAGTGATCATTGATTGTAGGTGTGTGATGACGTGACCTTGCCGCCTTGGTGCCTCCCATGCGTCTTACGTCTTCCTGCCACCGACCACAATGCCCCCCGGACCCCATCAATAGTTCCCTCCCTCCCTCTCCTCCCCGCCGCGCAGCTCTGTAACAAGTATATAAATCCCTCGGGTTGATCCCTGGGTAGTGTTTCATTCTGAGAGGGGCTCTCGCGGGTCCCCCCCTTAAGTGCGCACATGCGCCCACCCGGTACGTACATACCATGAGTAGACAATGTACCTCTTTGACGCTGCCATAGTCACTGTCCCCTCATTGCTCTCTAGCCTACAACGAGTAAGCAACAAAAAAAACAAGCTAAGTTCATTCATACCTCTCGAGTTTCCATGGGCGTCACTGACTTGGGCCTGTACCTAGATCAGGACCTGTTGTTGACCGTTGGCTGGAGGAGCTGTCCAGCGTCCCCCATGTCGACGTCCTCAACCTCCATCTTGACCTTCATGACTTCCCGCTGCTTACCCTGCAAATAGTCAGCGCGAGGTAATCGCAACCGCAGGTGAACACTTACCCTAGCCTTTGCCGACTTGGTCACTGACGCCTGCTCGAGGTCATCATTGCTATCTGAGATGACGATCACCTCTTGCGAGTCGTCGTCCTCGTCGATGACAATGATCTACATAGGTATGTCAGTAAATGGTTGAACTTGAAGATTATCACACGCTTACCTTCAGTGCAGGCTGGACCTTCACTTTACTGGCAGGGCGCGACTGCATTACAGGCGCCACACCCTTGCGCGAAGTTGCAGCCTGCTTCGCCAGTGGAACGGACCTCCTCACAGCCTGTCACTGCATGCAAATGGCCATTCCCTTGCAAGGGAATGGGGAAGTTACGCGGAGGGAATTTCGAAAAACGTCAGGATAACTGCCGCTCGGGTTATTTGACTAAAAGTACGATACCTTCGCTATTGCCTTCTGCCAACCCTCAGATAGTGTATTCTGGATAGACCAACTGCGGCTATATTGCAGCGATACCAGAAGTTATCCTGTATAACCTCTCATAAGCACCAGGTCGGATAAGTTGGGATTATTTCAAAAAGCCTCACGATAACAGGTGAAATTTTCTTGCAAGTTTAGCTGCAAAAGGGTCGAAATTGCCTCCGACTGACTATGTCGAGGGTATTTTGGATATCCTCAGCCACATCTTCCCCATATAAGCAGAGACATTAATTGTAATAGCCTCTGTAAGCCTATGGTGAACTTTGACAAGAGGGAAATCGAAATAAACTCGGGTCTGGACGTCCGGACGCAGATGTCTGGATGTCTGCATCCAGACAACCGTGTGTGCGGATGTGGACATCTAGTTGTCCGCACCCGTCTGTCCATCCATCTGAGCCCGCTCGTCCAAATCTGTGGATTCTATGCATACGGATGTCTGGACTCTCGCATGCAGGTGTCTGGACAGCTGACACTACCATCATCCTATATACACAGAATTATGAATTTCTCAACTTTGGGGAGAAGGTACAGAAACCTCAAATTAAGTATGAAAATAACATGAGCATGAGACGATCGAGTTGTCCGGACACCTGCATGCGAGAGTCCGGACATCCGTATGCATAGAATCGACAGATTTGGACGAGCGCGCTCGGATGGATGGACAGACGGGTGCGGACAACTAGATGTCCACATCCGCACACACGGTCGTCTGGATGCAGACATCCAGACACCCGCGTTCGGACGCCCAGACCCAAGTTTATTTCGATTTCCCTCTTGTCAAAGTTCACCATAGGCTTACAGAGGCTATTACAATTAATGTCTCTGCTTATATGGGGAAGATGTGGCTGAGGATATCCAAAATACCCTCGACATAGTTGGTCGGAGGCAATTTCGACCCTTTTGCAGCTAAACTCGCAAGAAAATTTCACCTGTTATCGTGAGGCTTTTTGAAATACAGTTGAATACCTCGTAGTGAATCATACCTTCGTGAATTTATCTCGTAGTGGATGCTCTGAGCATCGAACAGCCTTGGTTAGCAGAGAATTATTCATGAATGGCATATTGCATAGTGAATGGGCCATAGGGTGAATAATTCACCAGGCTATGTGCGGATCATCGGTCGGGAGCCAATCAAAATTCACGATGAGGTCACTCAAACCCGCTCGCAGCATCGTCAACCACCTTGAGATGCAAACCACCGACCAAGAACCACTCAATGCCAATCAGTATAAATCTGAGAGCTGCCCTATTCATGTGGGTACGATTCTAAGCAATGTCCGACCCTGGTGAACCTCGCAATCCTCTCTCTGGTCCCGATCGCGAGCGACGTCGGCCTGCCCGGGACAAGCCCGCCCCATATGATCGGAAGAAGACCGGGCCGAAGCCGCAAGCACACAAGACTTCGGCGAAGCCTGTTGGTCCTCAGAAGAAAGAGAACCTGACTCTTGGTGACTGGCTCGAGGTTGTGGCCTATGCCGATGCCCATCCTGGAATCACACAGCCAGCAATTGAACTCTACTTTAAGACTCGCCCTGAGGGTGCTCTTCAACTCTCGCAGCCTTCCATCTCTCGCAACTTGTCAGCAAAAGGTCGTGCCGCCCTCGAGAAGCGACGTCTTTCACATGCAAATGCATTGGACATGAAACGAGGCCGATTCGTTGTTCGGCCCGATGTCGACCACGCGCTCTGGATCTGGCAACAAAGCATGGAAGAACGCGGCGAAACACCTGATGGCAACATGCTTGTCGCTAAGCGCACAAAGTTCGAGGAGTTGTTTGATGTCCCTGCAAATGAACGCATGACAAGCAGGGGCTGGTTGTCGGGCTTCACTAAAGCGTGCGTGCTTCATTCATAGAACTGAGTTTTTGCATCACTGACATATGGCCTCACAGATATGGCTTCCGATTCTGCAAGAATTTTAGCAGTCCGGTAAGTATTCGGGCCACTAAAGTGTTCGCAAGGTAGGTGCCGGCACCGGGAACCAGGGCAGCATCCCTGGCCTACGGATTCCAGCAGATGAATCGAGATAAGAGTTTGTACATACCTGCTTCCGGATACGTACTATTTGACTCCGATTTTATCTGGACTGCGTGCGTACGCGTACTTGAGCGCAGTGCCGATTACTCGGTGTATTTCCATGTTTTATTTCCCCACTCGCTATTCTCCTACAATTTGTCCTTCCAGGCTATAAGTGGGTACATATACTCCTTAAGGTATGCTTCATATGGCTATATTATTTGCTACCCGCCACTCTGCGCCATTCTTGAGTGCCACCCCATTTACCCCCACCCCCTCCTCCTCCCTCTCCCAAATCCCGCCCCAGAAC